AGAGGGTTGGTCAAAATTAGGATGTATATATTCATCAAAAAAGTTCAAAGAAACTGTTGAAACGAATTATAAATTGAGATAGTTTGAAATTATAGCGAAGGTTTTAAAGTTTATTAAAAGAAGAATTCACGAAGTACATAATGTAATTAATAAGACAGCAGTATAAAAGTGTAACGAACAGAGGTAGGCAAATTAAAGGAAAAAACAGGAAAGATCAGGCGCGAAAAGGATAACTTAGCTGCAAAAAATACAATAGGATAAAGTAAGCTTATTAGCAGCTCAAATTGCCATCAGCATATTCCAAGATATAGCCATGTCCGAGTGAAATATGATTTGAATTGAGAAAAGACATTACAATATATTAATCCATCAAGCCTTTTGAAGGATCTCCATTTTCCAGATTTTTATACTCATATCAGAAAGTGATAAGTGCTGTGTAGCAGTTGTAAAATGGTGCCCCTTACTTCATCTCAGTGTAGTAAGATTTTTCTTGTCCTTTTGGAATCATTGGTCATTCCAATATTTTACTGTGTTTGAGGAAAGCCGTTGCTAGAAAACGCGAGAGATGTTGCACCATACATTATCTTATGAAAAAAGATGGAAAGTAATCTCTCATAACAGACTCAACGAAACCTTATCTCTCATGGACAATGGAAAATAATATATATGAAACCTTACCTCCGATGAAAAATAATCGCTCATAACAGACTCAACGAAACCTTCTTATCGCTCATGAAAACGACTCAATGGAAAATATATTATCATAACAGTCTCATTGAAATCTTATCTCTCATGGACAGACAATGGAAAATAATCTCTCATAACAGACTAAATGAAATCTTATCTCTCATGACAAGCCTCTATCAGAGTTAAAACTGAGTCTGCCTCTCAACCCAGAGATCATGGGTTTGAGCCCTACTCGGGTCACGACCATTTTTCTTCATATGACACCAGTACTGATCGGTTCCAGGAAGCGGACTCGAAAGTGATTAATATAAGTTTCAAGAACTTGTTTCGCGATCGAGCTAAAATAAATATGTTTAGGTTAGGTTTAGTCTGCGATTTTCACCTTTATAATTTTGTTTTATATTGCACCCGAGGGACCTCCATTTTCAAGATTTGTATTAACATTTTATAATTGTGAAAGTGCCACTTCAATTCTTCAATTTAGTGGGAAAGTTGTCCCTGAAGTTCCTGTGATTTGTTCGTGAACTGGTATTTATGATATGAATATGAATGATAAACAAGTGCTTTTACTTATTGACAACTTCAGTTATTTGTATTATGGTTTCTAAAACTGCTACAAAATATAAAAATTGTAAACTATTGCGTAAAGAAATGTTTTGCTTTTTTTTAAAATTACTTAAGCTCATTTATTCAAACGATTGAAAAAGGTAAGCATAAGTTTAATAGATTTTATCAAAAATATATCTTATCTTCAAGAGTTGTCATGATTTCTTTTTCTTTTGGCAAAAAAGAAAAAAAACATATCATTATCTACATGTATATTATATCTATTGTGATACGTATTGGTTTTAAAGTATATACGAGTATAAGTTTAATATAAACTTTTTAGAAAACGTGTATAAAAACTTATGATTAGTGATCTGTGTTAAACATCTATACATGTACATAACAAATAGATAAAATGTCTTACTATTCTATTATTTCATGAAAAAATCTAATTCTATCTAAAATGTATCCTTTCTTCGACAAGTTTATTTCATAAATGCTAAATTGGCCAAATGTTATATGCCGATTGCTTTTAAAAACTTGACCATTTGAATTTTAGTTATGAACTGTTATTATGTACCATTCACATTATATAGTTGTATTTTAAAGAAACAACTACAATTTTTTAAAGTTATATACAATTCACATGTGTACATGTGTTGTTGATTTTCTATCCTACAAGAAATGAGCTTTACTAATTAATAAATAGGTGAATTTTTCAATATTTTTATTGATTCATTCATGACATCAAATAAGTAGACGTACAAAATGTTTAATTCATTGCATGTTTATTTAACTGTTCATTCAACTATAGAGAAAAATCTCCGTAATATAAATCTCAGTGATTCTGCGGGGTTCTAATGAACCTGGCGTCATGTCGGTAAAAATGACGTCATGATAGTATGACACGTCTGGTAAAAACGAAATCTGGTATTCAGGTACGTATAATAACTGACCTTGTAGATGAAAGCCGCCTAATAACTTATTCACACGCGTTTTAAAGTTAACTTTTATCTAGGCCAACACTGTGTATATTTATGTACTTACTTTATCGTAATTGCGTTAATATTATGTTACTTTAAGTTTACATTTTAAAACCTTCATATCACCAAAGTCTATTTATGAAAATATTTGTCTATACCAGACATTTAAAGTGTCAAAAGAAGTAACATGCGCGACCATTGATATACCAATTATACAAAAAGATATTGTTCAAAGATTCTGTAGACTTTGTAACACGTATTTATATATGGCATTTGCATACATCTTTATAAAAGATGGGAGGCCGTAATTTTTTTTATTGAACAAATACTAGTATACGGATTTGGTCCGTTTTATCGCTGTGCATACATTATTGTGTACATCATCGGTTCATTAATTAGATTATGTAATTGTGTGTTTTTGCAAAACGATTTTTGTCAAACTAATATTGTACATAAAGCATTTCAGTTTGCTCTTTCACGATTTATAAAAATGAATATTTTCATCTGGTAATTCAGTTAAATATGCAAATTTAGAGAACTTTATTAGTAAACATCTACCGTATGTATGTGTTTTGAGACAGTTGAGCTGCCCGAACTTATCAATCGAAAACGGAAACTTTTCATTAATTTTAAAATTAGATAATAAACGAGCCGTGCATAATGTGATCCTCGCCCCCTCTGCACAAGCACACCGTTGAGAAGCACAGGGCTTCGACAGAAGATTTGGAGCTTGGTCCAACTTAGTTTCACCAAGGACATTTACTGACTAATGATGACATCATGTGTTGATTTTTTTGCGTAAATGGAGGGCAAATACTACAGGTCAGACTATCACTTATCAAGAGGTTGGAGGCATGCCGGTGTCCTGACTGAAGCCGAGGGGCGAGGCCTACAGAGTAGGCAGGGGTGACGATGAAGTGTTCTAGGTTGTTAATCGCTACTTTTAACGGCCAGTTTTCATCATATTTCGGAAATAAATTTAAATTAACAGTGTGATTACTGATTACGTTGCTGCAGTTACTGGGTTTTAAAAAAAATGAAAAACCCTTTAATAGTTCCTTACCTGGAAACGTTTTCCTTTTAAATTAAATTTCATTAGAGTGAACCCTTAAGGCTGAAAAAGTCCCCAAAAAAAATCGGTGCAGTCCCTTTGGGGTTCATTTGGATTTTTATTCTTTACTTATAATTATCCTAATGTGGAACTATTTCAACCAAGAACAAAATAAATTAATGTAACAAATATCTTAATCATTAAACAAGATTAAATTGTGTCGAAATTTACGAGTTCCTACACATTTTTTATAATTTATTTGTACCATAGAGCCATCATAAGTCTTTTTTTTTAAATTGTTAAGTAAAACCTCAATAATATTCACGGTAATCTGTGAAATGCTAATAAACTGTCAGTTTTAATCAGTTTTTGGATTTTTTTATTCATTTAAACTAAAATATATTTCTAAACGTTATCCGATGTATGCTTAAACAAATGTCACCATTTCATTATGCACAGATTGAACGCTGCATATTGCTAAAAACGCATGCACTTGAAAAGGTAAAATTATGTGAAGTGAATCAATGGCTTAATTAAGAAAGCCTTTGCTGAAAGTATCAATTTGACAGTTCGTTTTCGTATATTAAGTACGTTATTTATTCATTCATTCATTCATTCATTCATTCATTCATTCATTCATTCATTCATTCATTCATTCATTCATTCAATTCATTCATTCATTCACATTCATTCATTCATTCATTCATTCATTCATTTATTTATTTTGTTGAGGAATTCACATAGATATCATTAAGCAATGAACGCATAAGAGGTGAGATAAACTTATAATAGTACTTGAAAAGGTTACATTGAAATAAATTACAATTTTTTTAATGTTTTTTTCTTCTTTCTTTCTTTCTTTCTTTCTTTCTTTCATTTTGGTTTATTCCAGTCGTGATAAAACAATCTAAACACGAATATAAGAATGCATATGCCAACAGCAATTTTGCGGAAGGCAAATTTAGTTCTTCTCAGCTGTTAATACTAATACTAATAATACTATATATATACCTGTGGTCCCGTCATTTCTTTACAAAACAGAAATGCCTTATGACATTTACATTAATTTAAGAGATATGTCTACATGTATGTAATTAGAAGTAATGAACTTTACGTATGTGACCCAGGGTCTTCCTATTTCAAAGACACTTGATGTCCTCACTATTTTTCAAAAGTGAGCGTTTGCAGCAATCAGAAGCACGCGTGCATGCTACAAAAGTGGTTTAAAGGTCGTACACGTAATTTCAAGGGACCAGTGACGTGTAAACTTGTTATGTTAAAAGTTGACCCCTTATAGAAAAAAAAACAAGTCTGCTCATTGCCTTAATTATAGTTTTCTCCAGTAAACAAAATAATGCTACAATGTTTCATAGAGATGAAGTTGTTTATTAAACGTGAAACAAATACTTGCATTGTTTTCTTTTATGGCCTTTGGCAAATATTTTTGGTCTGGCCTGTTGATCGGGGCTGTAAATTGGACTATTTCATTTTATCTGGTAGGTAGGTTCTATTTCTGCAATCTAGACTTTATCAGATTTGTTAGGATGATAAGTCAATTGTACCTTTCTTTGATTAATAGAAAAACGTCTGTTATAGTTCCTGACTGTCATTGATAAATAATCAGTTATATTGACAGTAAACAACATTAAAATGGCCTGAATACTTATCGCGAAACCCCAACGGAAAAAATACACATGGTCTAATGATCTCGATGGATTACAGTGCGTACAAGAACCTCCCCCGTTAGATGATCGATAATTTCAATCGAGTTATTTAATTCACTGAGAGAAGTTTCCTGATATCTTCTGCAACTTATGTACATATTACATCCGGAAATTTATCTAACACATGTGATTTTTCTGTTTTTATCCCGGATTACAATTATTTTTTCGGTTAAAATTTTACTTGTTAACTTTTGGGGAGGAAACAAGAACAGCCATCAAGAAAAAGTGCACGTCTTTGGTGCAAATTGGAAATTTGCGTTATATTTGAGACGAAATCTTAGTGTTAGTTTAAAGTGAATCATTTGGATTTTCACAGACTCGGAAAGGTAATTCTTTCTTCTATAACTCCGCTAAGTGACGATTTTTAGCTTGGTCTAGATTTTTCTTGATGATTGTTTTTCTGATGAACGTCTTTGTTAATCTGTGTTTCATTTTCACAGTTTCACTCTGTTACTGTTATCAATGCTTCATCTTTTCATGCATCTTTCTTTTGAATCTTTTTAATAACGCAATAATTAGATATATGGAATAAAGATCACAATTTCATTCCTCACGTTTTTCTTAAAATAATGATTAATATTGAAATAAATGAAAAATAACACATTTGAATGAAATGGTTTTTTAAATGGCAATATTTTTTAAAGGTAGATCTAGATCTATGGTTTAAATGTTTAAAATAGATGATGTTATTATTGCAGTGATTTTAGGAGCAACATGTCAACCAGCAATTCTGGTCGTGGTAAGAAAAGGTCTCGCGCACAGGCAAATGGAAACGAGGAAGGCGCTGGCCCATCTGGCTCATCAGCCCCTAAAACTGCGAAGTCCACCGCAAACAACAAGTTGATGAGTACATCCCTTAAAAGGCGAGTTATTTTATTATCATTAATGCAATATTTGATATTCCTAGTATCATTTTCTGTGGTTTAAAGTCACATGGTGGATTTCTGCTATGCTGGAAATGAAAACTAGTATTTAATATTGGTATATACAACATCTTGAGCTCATTTGCATATAAGCTTTGACGGGGCCCTGCTCTTTTGTTTCAGTAAAAAATAATAAAATTTTTAATGATTATTGTAATGTTTGGCTCATACTTTAATATGGTTTAATTTTTTTCTGGAAATTTTCATGTATTAGTTTAAAAAATCAATATGTAATATATGAACACAGTGAAGGCTATACACATGATGAGGGTTGTTAAAAATTTCCTTGTGAGTCTTAACAATTTAAATTGGATTTATTTCTTGATGTTTATTACATTAATTTTGATCACCTGAAGATGAAATACTTAAGATTTGAAGAATTTTCAAATACTATTATTGATGATCATTGATGAATAATTTGAAGAGGCATTATTATTTTTATTTCATATTATATTTAGGGAAGTAATTCTTTCACTGTAAGGAAATCACTACTTATGTAGCATGTGCAGGGGGAGAGTCTAGATTATGCTGAAAAGAAAGATCAGAATTAAGTAACGTTTTATAATTGTGGAATATTATACATATATCAGAAGTATAGGACTTACTAAATAGTATATCATATTCAGTTTACATATTTACAAATTTTCCTGATGCAAATTGGCAATGATATGAGGCCCAGTACCAGCCTTACACCTGCAGAAGCCCTGGAAGGGATATCTTTTACAAATTTATGAAATTATTTGAAGCATGTGTACATAAGATTTTCACATGGCACAAATATAGATAAATCCATTTACATTATCAGGACAATGATTTTTTCTTTGTTTTTTTCCCCCTTTTCAATATTGCTGGGAACGAAAGACAAAATTCTTTGTACCAATTAATTTGTTAGCCTGTAATGTACGTATGCCAGGTAGACATGTATAAATCTGTGCATTGTCAGGGATCGCGCTTTCCACTTTGTTTGCTTGTATGTACAAGTACAATTTGTTGAAAGGCAAGTATTTTAAAATGTTACAGCCTCAGCTTGTAGCACATATATTGCAAAACTGAAAATAATGTTTGATCCCTAATTGTTATATATTACTTATTTCTTTTTTAACCTTCAAGGATGATTACTGATTTACTATAATTTCCTGTTATTTTATGCTCAACTTTGATCATAAGCTTATCCCACTGTTTTGCCAGGAAACCTTTTATAATAATTTATAGTAGGTGTTGAACTTTAATACCAAAGTTTGTGGAAATACATTACTTTAATAACAATTATATTTCATAATGCATAGTGGATTTCTTTTGACTTTAATTTTGCACTAATGGCACATTAGATGCATCAGATGTATCAGAATTGATTCTATAATCGGAGTGCAGAAGAGTTTTCCTGCAACATTTTCTTAGATTTTAAATAGTATACCTAGACCAAGTTACCTACCTTGATTAAAACAGTCTTAACTTGGTGATTTCCCCTTCTGACCCAAAGATTAAAATCCTGTGTCTGGCTGAGCTGCATCATCTCATCCTCTACATCAGTGTTCCCACTAGAATTTAAATTTGAGGGTACATGTACCCCCTAGGTCATAATTTTGGGGGTACACAGAATATTAAGGGGGTACAAACTATAATTTAGACAAGCAAGTCAGTTAAACACAGACAGTTTTAAGTGTTTTTTTCATATATCTCGCATGTTAAACAAAACATTTTCCCGTTGTCTTTGTCAAATCTAAGCCATGAAAATTCGGACAACCAGGAGTTCTGAAATCGTTTGCAATGTTTCTTTTTGGGGGGTTCAACACTATTTTCACTAGGGCCTGGTTCTTGATTTGCGCTAGAGGATTGAGTAAAGGTCGGCGATTTTTCGCTGGAATCGCTTTTATGGAACCATTCATTTAAATTGCGTTGCATTTTTTAATAACTTTTCCAGCGATTATTTAATATTTCAGACGGCTTATTTGTATTGCCCGGATGTAGACTTGTTACTGCGTTTAATATAGAGCGTCGCTAAGCGTCGTTAATAATTATGAACCAGTCCATAAGCTAAAAATAGCACAGCTGGGAAACCCGAGTTATGACCTCAGATTAAATTACGGTCGTATCGACTTTTACGGTCTTGTAAACAATTTCAGAGATTTATGAGTAGAATATTGATTTGTGATTCGAATTTGCGGATAATGTTTTGGCAGTTCAACTTCAATTTTTATACGTGCATGCACGCACCTAGTTGTAATTTCATGCGTGATTTTTGTAAATTATACGTGATTCACGTACATTTGTGCGTGAATGGGAACACTGTACATGTTGTTATTTGTGATGAAAAGAATGCCAAGAACATTCCCGGATATATTTTAATTGACTGTTTTAGTATACATTCTGAAGAACTTAATTAAGACACATCGAGGGTTGACCATATAACTGTTGAAAGTCCTTTATATTATATAAGTTACTGCAGTTTTGCGGTCAACCACCGACATGCTAGACTTCTGCTTCCAGGTTTCTTAACCAGTTATGGCACTATTATGGGTCATGGAATTTATATGTGAATCTTTCCACTGGCGGAGCCGAGGTCCACAGCCTCTAGGTTAGGTCTTCGGTCTGTTGCTTTCTTTCCCAACACCACTTTGTCACCACCTGCACCACAGTGGTGCCAACTAATTCATTACAGTCAATCATTAATATTTAATATTGTGACGTTTGGATTTAGAACAGTGACATTTAGATTAGTACAGTGACATTTACATTGAGTACAGTGACTTAGATTAAGAACAGTGACTTAAGGATTAGAACAGTAACATTTAGACTTAATTAGACTTAACAGCGACTTTACGATTTAAATCAGTGACATTAAGATTAAGAACAATGACTAAGATTTAAATCATTAAGAACAGAGATATTTTGATAAAGTTCAGTGACAGTGGCAGCATGGCCAAGTTGTTAATCTATCAGGCTAATAATCTAAAGATTGCTATTATGGAGGGCGTTCGTTGCCAAAATTCCAGACATGTAAAGTGTACCTTTTTAAAATGACTTTTGAAAATGCGAACTTGTATGCCTACCATTTTTTATTGTACCCGTGCATAGCACATAATATGCATCTTAATTCAAGCTTTTAATTGAAGGTTCCCGCCTTTATATAACAAGTTTACATATATATCGTAACAACTGACCTAACATCTTAAACGACAACAAATGTACAAGTTCGTATCTTCCATTGCATGCAATACATATGCATGTTTGCACACTTTTAGATCTGAAATATACAAATGAAATGTAAATCTTAAATACAGAAAATAGAGTTTAAGAAAACGTTTTACCAGTTGTAGAACTACAAGAGTACGTTAACACAGTAACATGTTTAAAATTACAAAAGTAGATTCACAAACTTAAACGATTTTAAGTCAAGCATAACGCCCCGCCCCTCTCGGAGTATTTACGAACTTCTATTGCGGACAGGTATAAAACGGCGCCTCTCCCATATTTCTAAATAAAACTGAAGGACAACATACGGCATTTTTCATAACATATATTTGTTACATTTGTTACAAAAGTTTTGTCACTAGCAACATCACTTGAAAATTGCTGATTATAAAGATAACTTATGCATTAGCTTATTATTTAACATCGTGTTCTTATCAGTTACAAATTATTTATCATTTTAGTGATAATAGCCTGTCCGTGCTCTGCCTAGTGCCCTGTCCTGTGTTTCGTTTGGGGTCCGCCTGGGCTCCTTGCCACTTGTTCTTGTTGCTGGGTCATGTGGGGTTGCTTTCATTGAGCGCCACCTTTCCTTGTTGATCTTGTTTATCATATATTCCTGAGAAAAATAGGCGATTTGGAAATTTTTAGGGGAAACAATGACCAACTTCAAGGGAGTAATTTTATTGATAATCTAAAAACCATCCAATATTTTTATTGGTATCATTGAAAAATGTATTGGCACAAATTTCATTTTCATTAAAAACTATGCAAGTATTTGCAAAAATAGGATTTTAAAGCGACCACCGAGATATCCTTTCCGAAATCAAGAAAATACTTATCCGTAGCACATATGTACAATCTTTAATAAGGTATTTTCAGTATGAATAAAAACTTTTTTCACTTGTTCATTATCCCTCATGTACAGACTCAATCAAACCGAGTCTGCAATTCTTATGTAATTTTGTTGTGATAAATGCTTCCGAGGGATCACTTTGTTTCCAGATTTTTATACTTCACAACAGCAGGTGCCAAGTGCTGTGTGGCAGCTGTAAAAAGTTGCCCCGTACTTCACTTCAGTGTTGTTATATTTTTCTGGTCCTTCGGGATCATTGATGCCAACGCTATTAAGTGTCGAGAATTGAGTACCGTTCAAGCCGGTGCTAGGGGGCGTGAGTGATGTTGCACTTGTTGTACAGACTCAATCAAACCGAGTCTGCAATTTTTATGTAATTTTGTTGTGATTAATTCTTCCGAGGGATCACTTTGTTTCCAGATTTTGTAATATACTTGTTCAAAGCTTTCATTCAATATTCTTTTTCTTTTTTGAATAAAGTATCTAAAGGAAGCAACGTGATTTTTTTACCTAATATATGAGTGTGGTTTTAAGAAAGAAAAAATAATCAACGATAAGTTTGAAACAAAATTTTTAATTCTTCTACGTAATTAATTTTCATTTTTAAGACATCACTAGAAAGTTCATAAAGGATTCTTTTACTTGAGTCTAAAATTATCAAAATTGACCAAGAAATAAAAAAGTAAGCAAGGGGGCGCCATGTTTCTCTTACTGAATTTCAGAGTGTGTTTTGTTTTTTTTACTTGGGGACCATATGCCGTTTTTCATGGTATGGCACTTACGTGTCACATTGAAGGTTTCATGATAATCGCCATATAAACACATCTGCGGATGTTTCAAAATTCAAAATTGTACCAGTTCATGTTGAATTTTGCTTAAGCCGGTGCTAGGGGGCGTGGGCGGTAACTTGCTCTTTCCGTTACCGTGAACAGGTTCAATCAAACCGAGCCTGCAACATTCTCAATTTTGTCGTTTTGAGCGTTCTTTAAGGATTCTTATTTTCTCTATTTTACAGAAAATTACATGATAAACTTAACTTACATTTTGATTTAATTCATTTTTATTTTGAGGCATTATATAATTATATATCATAAATCGTATGAAGCACACTTTTATTTCAATCCAAAATTTGGAGGGAACGCCGTGTTTTTCTTATCAATTCTCAGAGGAAAAAATGATACATTTTGAAACAAAAATATCAATACATCTATTTAATTCATTTTTATTTCCGACGCACTCATGGAAAGCTTATGGAGTAATCTTTCATTTGATACCAAAAATGTTTGACTTTTTATAGAAATAAAAAAAAAAGTTAGAATGGACGCCGTGTTTTCCTTCACTTAATTGAGAAATAGGAGAGAGACGACGAGTATATACCTGTCCGTACATTTCCGTAATAGAAGATCGTAAATACTCAGAGAGGGGCGGGGCGTCATGCATGATTTAAAATCGTTTAACTTTGTGAATCTACTTTTGTCATTTTAAACATGTTACTGTGTAAACGTACTGTTGTAGTTCTACGACTGGAAACACGTTTTATTAAATTATGTTTTCTGTATTCGAGTTTTACATTTCATTTGTATTTTTCAGGTACAGATATATATCTACAAGTGTGTAAACATGCTTATGTATTATATGCAATGGAAGATACGAACTTGTAAATTTGTTGTTGTTCTCCATGTTAGGTCAGTTGTTAAGATTTGCATGTAAACTTGTTATTTAAAAGCGGGTACCTTCAATTAAAAGATTGGATTAAGAGGCATATCATTTGCTGTGCACGAATACAATCAAAAATGCTAGACATACATGTTCGCATTTTCAAAAGTAGTTTTTAAAAGGAACACATTACATGTTTGGAATTTTGGCAACGATCGCCCTCCATAGGCTATAGCTGTGTGTCAGGAGCAAAATCTTATCTGTGTGTCAGGAGCAAAATCAACTGTGGTTGGTTCCTTGAACAGATACTAGTGTATCCATAAGCTTTTAGCTTCCCAAGTATTTAACTTAAAGATCAGTTGAAACAGATGCTGTAATTAAGTAATAACTTATAGCAAAAGCTATTAAATTTTCAGTTAAGGGTTACTGAGTCAACTGGCTAACGGCTAGAACATTCAGCAGTGAGAGGCAAGACCTTTAGTGGTTTGAAGTCGACAACCTAATAATAACCACTCAGCCATGGACAACCCTCAGAATTAGGTTATAATTTTGGAAAGATCAACATAGGAATTAAATTTTCATGTTGAAGCCAAAAATGTAGAAATGTTCATTGAAACTGATGTTTTTTTTTGAGGGAAAAAAAAGAGTGAAAAAAAGCTATGGTAATTGAAAACAATGTACTCTTTGTCGGAGAAGAAATTTGTAACAAATTGTTTATCATACAAGTACCAGTATCTCAAGTGTTGTTGCAAGTGGATCAGCACTTATAAGAACCATTTGTGCTTTCACTGTCAGCAATGTGCTACATCTTTAAGCAGCAGGTCTGAGTATGCAATGGTAGGTAGTAGCTTGGTCTTGAAACTTATGCAGCCTATACAATCATCTTTTTGCATTGCAGTTTTGGAAACAAAGAACTTTGTTTGTTCCTGAGATTTTTTGCTTTAGAGATGATATATTCATTTAGAAATCTTCATTTGGGAAGAGGTTATTTCTCTACAGAGGGTTATTCTGCACTGTATAAATATACATTGATAAAACCAAAAACAGAAGCTTGTGTTATTGATGGATTGCACAGATCATGGTATTTCTCCATGAAGATTTACTTTCTGTGAGCTTCAATTTATATTATTGCGGTTGATAAAATATCGATCAAACTTCAACTTCCTAAGGTAAGTCTCGTTTAATCTTTCCATTATTAATTAATTTGTTGATATATCATTTTATTTCAGGATTCAGAAAGAACTTGCCGAGATAACTCTTGACCCACCTCCAAACTGCAGGTAGGTTTCTTTACCATTTTAACAAACCATAATTCCCCTTTGTGGCTGAGGGGTTGCCTTTAAAGGTTGAAGCATCAGAATTGCAGTCACAATTTATCATCATCATTCAGATTGTTATGTCCCCTCATCATTTGGACGTTGGGGCATATAGAATTAATTGCCCTTGTCCATTCTCACTGTCTCTACTGTAAACAGAACAAAGAGAAACAACAAACTTCATTCAGTAATAGTAGAATAAGGGGCAAATGGGCCTGTTATAAACAAACAAATATAACAACTGAAATGGCACATTTTGTTTATAGGCACATCTGTTTGTCTGTCTGTGTGTCTGTCTGCAGACCTAAAAATGGACTGTGTTGTGGTAGTATATGTGTTCTATATGGACACATTTTTAGTTTTTGTTGATTCTATAGCTGATATTGTGTAATATTTGCACAATTCATTTGCGACCTGAGTATAAGAAAAGTCACATTTGTGAACAAGACAATTGTGAACATTTATGCTAATGTCATGGTCACATTTGCAACTGGACTGTCAATGTCTCATTTGCAACTATAGTGTCAATGTCACATTTCAGACTTTTTTTATCAAGGTCACAGTTGAGATCAGTGTCAAGGTCACAATTAACTGAGACTCCAGTGTCAAGGTCATATTGAGATCATATTGTCATGATCACATTTGAGCATACAGAGCCAATGTAACATTTGAGAGTAGTGTCAAGGTCACATTTGAGACTAGTGTCAAGGTAACACTTGAAATTTAGGTGCTACGATAACATTTGAGATTGCAGTGTCAAGGTCACATAAAACATTATTCGAGACCAGTTATTACTCAAAGTTATTAAGATAGGAAAGTCTCAGTTTAACTGTTAACAGTTTTGAAGATTTCTATATTAAAACATCAGTGTGTCTACAATACTCACTAGATGCATGATCTTATTTCTTCAAAATCCTCCTATAAATTGTGTCATTTACTAGCTCTTCAGACCTAAATAAAAGATGTCTGACATTTTATGACATTCTGAAAGAAAACTCTGGGTATATCTTATTCTAGAATCTAATTGATTGATTTAAAACTGCTCTGCAACAGGGTCTCTCATGTCAGTCTGGAAAAAAAGAACTGGATTTTCTGTGAAATGAAAAAAAAAACTGTTGATTTTTGGAGTGTTGTTACGTTTGTTGTTCAGTCCCCATTCTTATGGTTCAAAAATACCACTTGTCCGCTTTTAATTACTAATAGAATTTAAGAGAACTCAATGCAGGATTAGTAGAAAAATGTTGCCGGCACATTGGATTTAGAAACTACTCATCCTGCAGGACAAGTGACTCTGAAAACATTTTTCGATGCCTGAATTCACATGTTTTTCTTTGCAATCTTCATAGATATTGTTCCCATTCAACAATCATAAATTATGTGAATAATTATTTTTGAAGATTTAACTGGTAATTTTACGATGAGACTCTAAATATGATTCAGTCACACTGGACTGCTCATATGTTGATTATTACATATTATCAGATTCTTTGAAATTATAGATTTTTTTAGAACATTCCCAGCTTCCATGGCAACCAAAAAGTTGGAAATTGTTCTTCTTTCAAATTCAAAATGGCAGCTAGTTTTTAAAAATGATTTAGAAAATTGTTGAATAAAGTGTTTAGCCTCAATTAAGCCAATGATTTGTGTTTAATGTTGAAGATTTGTCAGTAAAACTAGCTTCTGTGGTACAGAAAATCTCAGAGACACACTCCTAAGTTAATATTTTTTGCAATATTTATCAATATTATTTCACAGCTACTAGTAAATACCATGTTAGGTTCTGCTGCAAGATGTCTGCAGAAAACTCATTTTAACTTAAAGGTAATGAATCTCAAATATTTAACAAACAAATAAACTACTTCAGTATTATATTTGTATTCCCCGAGAAATTAACCTCTGATAAACACAGATGATTTCTATGGGTAGTTAAAACTGTCTGTGGTAAATGTTTTATTTGCCTGTAGCAAAATCTGGCATAAAATGTTGGAAGCCACATCTGGTAATTAAACTTGGAACATTTATATATATATATGTTCAATGTTAATTGTATTTATGCCTGTGACAGGTTTCACTGTCGTCGATTGACATCACATGACATGACATGTCATTGCTTGTTTGTTTTGTTTTTGTCAACTAATACCATGGGCAGACATGGTTTATGAATATATTATGACAGAGTCAGATGCCATAGACACTTTAAGTGAAGGGTTGTAACAGTGTAATCTTTCAAATGCCATATACAGTTACTTTAAGTTTAGGTTTTGCTACAGTGTAATCTGTCAGATGCCATGAACAGTTACTTTAAGTTTAGGTTTGTAACAGTGTTATCTGTCAGGTGGCATGGACAGTTACTTTAAGTTTAGGTTTGTAACAGTGTTATCTGTCAGGTGGCATGGACAGTTACTTTAAGTTAAGATTTGTTATAGTGTAATCTCTCAGATGCCATGTACAGTTACTTTAAGGTTAGATTTGTAAAAGTGTTATCTGTCAGATGCCATGGACAGTTACTTTAAGGTTAGATTTGCAACAGTGTTATCTGTCAGATGCCATGTACAGTTACTTTAAGGTTAGATTTGTAACAGTGTTATCTGTCAGATGCCATGTACAGTTACTTTAAGGTTAGATTTGTAACAGTGTAATCTGTCAGATGCCATGGACAGTTACTTTAAGGTTAGATTTGTAACAGTGTAATCTGTCAGATGCCATGTACAGTTACTTTAAGGTTAGATTTGTAACAGTGTAATCTGTCAGATAATATGGACAGTTACTTTAAGGTTAGATTTGTAACAGTGTAATCTGTCAGATGCCATGTACAGTTACTTTAAGGTTAGATTTGTAACAGTGTAATCTGTCAGATGCCATGTACAGTTACTTTAAGGTTAGATTTGTAACAGTGTTATCTGTCAAATGCCATGTACAGTTACTTTAAGTTTAGGTTTTGCTACAGTGTAATCTGTCAGATGCCATGAACAGTTACTTTAAGATTAGGTTTGTAACAGTGTTATCTGTCATGTGGAATGGACAGTTACTTTAAGTTAAGATTTGTTACAGTGTAATCTGTCAGATGCCATGGACAGTTACTTTAAGATTAGGTTTGTAACAGTGTTATCTGTCATGTGGAATGGACAGTTACTTTAAGTTAAGATTTGTTACAGTGTAATCTGTCAGATGCCATGGACAGTTACTTTAAGGTTAGATTTGTAACAGTGTAATCTGTCAGATAATATGGACAGTTACTTTAAGGTTAGATTTGTAACAGTGTAATCTGTCAGATGCCATGGACAGTTACTTTAAGGTTAGATTTGTAACAATGTAATCTGTCAGATGACATTGACAGTTACTTTAAGGTTAGATTTGTGACAGTTTAATCTGTCAAATGTCTTAGACAGAGCTCATGACCTTGACTTAACACCCAGTTTTGTAACAGTGGAACTGATTATAACTGTAATCTGACAAATGTCAAGGACAGTTATCCTTCACTCCAAATTCTAACAGTGGAATCTGACAAACGTCATGGACAGTGAGTTATCCTAAGCTCCAGATTGTAACAGAATAATCTTGTCATGCTATGAATAATGACATTAACCTCTATCTTGTTATAGTGGATTTGGACAATGTTCATATTAATATGGACAATGAGTTATCCAAAGCTCCATCATTATAAAACTGGAACTTGACCTTAAACTCCAGTATCAACTATCATTGGCACTTGTTGGGAAGTTGAATTACATTAAAGTGATTTCCATAGACCAAACTGCCATTGTGAAACTGGCACTATACTCAGACCTTATAGATTTTGCATAATCCATTAGACACATAGATTCGCAAAGAACTATGCTATTTGGCATCCTTGATATAAGTATATTTTGCAAGTCTTTTAAACTTCAATACTATGGTACAATGAAATCAGCTGTAATATCTGTGAAGGAGTCATAATGATCAATAATTTGCTCGATGACGACCACTTTAATTTTTATCTCCCGACTCCCCTTCCTGCCAGCTAACTGGTGAATTGAGGTTAATTCTAATAAAAAATATGACAGGTATGTGTGCAGAACAGATATTGCTACTGGTATTCAATAAATCCAGAAGTATTCTGGTTATTATTGGTATGTAGTCAGGTCTGTTATTACAAAAATGTTTTGTATCCTAGTGTTGAAAAAAAAGAATGATGTGTCAAAGAAAATTTTAAAACCGCTACCATGATTTAGAATGATAATTAATAAGCGGATGGATGTTTTTGTTATGGTTATTTAAATTCTTAAAGAAGGACAAAATAAATTTGTTGACATAAGAAGTTTTAATATAAATATTTGAATAATAGTTTTGCGACACTCTTTAAAAATTCAGAAATATATAGAAGTCAGTCACCTCAGTATACCCTCGTAAAAAAAGAAAATGCACAAATTTGAAATGTTTTAAGATTCAAAATGGACAAAAAGCGAAAGGGAAAGATAACTTTATTCTGCTCAGTTTTTCGCTTCAGATTGTCTGAAATAATGCTGGGGCCTAAGGGGTGTTTCAGAAGACTTCTTTCTCTAGTTTTCCTAGACGGTTGCCATGACGATGACCTTTACAGTGGCAGTGTAGCTTTAAACCTAACATATCAACAGTTTAACTCTAATACTGCTAAGTATCTTAAATTGGTTCGTTCATCTTTCAATCTAGACAAGGCTATTAATAATTTTAAGGGAGAGTTTCAAAATATTATACTGTATGAATAGCAAACAGTGCAGACCATGATCAGATCTTGTTCTGCTATTGTTGCATATGTAGAATCTGTTATTGCCCTGCAGGCTTAGAGTAAATTCAGGTGTTGTGTTTTTCATTTTGTATTATTAAAAAAAAAAAACTTATCATAAATTGTTTATCAATTTTCCAGACACTTGAGGAAATAGAACAAAAAATAATTAGAAATGTTAGAAATGAGGGATAATCTGAATTCTTCTGTCATAAATGAACAC